TCTAAATATATGCACCGCCACTCTACGCCCTGAAACGTGGCGGTGTGTTTGTCCTGATCCCTGCATAAAGGCAGGCAGGTATGTTAGAGAGTGTAGGCAGGAACAAACCGCCACGCACGATTGAATTGCAGCCAAACTGGAAGAGACATTTAACCTGCCGAATTGTTTCGCTCAGCCAGGTGCCCCCCAGAAACCGGCAATTCTGCAACCAGTTGTGAAATCCTGCAACTATTCATAAAATATGATGAAAAACGTACTTTAGGAGAGGTAATCTTGCTATGTATGGCAAGGTAAGGGCAAACCTAAAGGATGAGTGTGTTTCCGTTTTTTAATGTTTTACGTGTAGCCATCTGACCACTTTTTATTGGGTGACATATCATATGAGCACTTTGGTGTAGGCTTGGAAAAACTACAGCCAGAGGTAAGGCTGGAAATGCCTAAGGATTAAGGGTGCTAAAAATGGATGCTGGAAAGTCTAGCATGAAAGATGGCATACAGCTGTAGGTTTAAAATGGGAGAAAATACATCTGAATATTTATACATGAAAGCCAATGGGGAGGGCTGAGTCTTGCCCTGAGTATCTGTGCAGGTAAGTTATTCATAAGAAAACTAATTACCTGTGCATGTACTTGGACTTGTTTAATTGAATAAGCTGCATGTGTGCATACTTGCTGTTCTTTGTGGCTATGCAATTATGGATTCAGTCTTTTAAAAATGATAGCTTTGGGGGAAATCTTAAAAGCGGACTTCATACATATATAATTTCCAAAAGCCATTGTGCTGAATAGATATGTTGCCAGGAAGAAGAATCTGACCCTATAAACGAGATTACCATTGCTTGAAATCTAACTCAAGGCCTGTATATTTTAGGGTAAATCAACTGACTTAATATAGTCAATTGTTTTGTTTATTTGTTTTCATTTTAAAGTCAGGAATTAAGTATGCTTTTCAATCGACATAATGTGCCTGTTTCCAGTCACAGGAGATAAAAATGAAACTCAGTAAATTTTGAGTGTAGCAGATAAGGTACAACATACAACATGGTTGAAAATGTCTTCCTTGCAGAAGGCTGTCCGTTGCTGTGTCTACACATTTTAAAATAAAAAATTTTTTTACAGTAAGAAATGCTATAAGGCAATAGGGTAGCGAATACCGCAACTCTCAGGTAATCAGCACAAAAATTCTTTAGAATCTTTGGAGTCACTTCCCTTTTTACATACATTATCTCAAATACAGTGGCCCGAACTGTGTTTTTGCTAATATGAAGTTAATTAGATAATCAAACTTAGAGCCTTCAGCGATGGTCATTACAGCCGATCAAGGGGGTATGTCAGGAAAGAAAAAAAAAATGTGTCTTTTCTTTTATGACCAAAGCAGGAGGTTATACAGCTGGCATTACATACATGACAGATGTGCATATTTGGAGCCTTAAATACACAGAAGCAGGGAGGCAACTGTGCATATTATCTAGCAAGAGACAGCAGCAGACACTCGCCAAAAAATACAGACAGAAAGGGACAAGAGAGACAGATAGACATAGTAAGCTAGCAAAAAAAGGAAGGCGGAGAATCAATAAAACGATACAACCTGAACTTTTCGCGAATTAAAAAATGCAAATATATCTTTACATATGCATTAGTATTAAAAATAATACACGCTGGAACCAACAGGAGCGGGAGCAGGAGGAGGAGGAGGAGAGGTGGAGGAGGAGGAGAGGAGGAGGAGGAGGAGGAAAGAATGGAGGCGCCGCGGAGCCCTGATTATGCATGGGCTGGAGCTGCCTCCTCTAACCTGTGCTTCTCCGAGCCCGGCAGCCGGCGGTCCTCAGCCGCCCACAGAACAGGAGCCGAAACAACCGTTCCCGAAGGCTACAGCGTTTATTTTTCTCTTTTGGGGGTTTTGGCGGTTGTTTCAGGGGCTCGCCAACTGGCCCCTTTAATTAAAAGCTTCAATAAAAGGCGATCGCGCCAGGAATGCACCGGCTCCTCTCCGCGCAGGATTTGCATATTTTTTTAATGCCCTAATTTCCTTGATGTATGTAAATGTAGCCGGACGTAGAGGGAGACAGGGAGCTGACGTCAATGGACGTGACCTCGCAGCTAAACCTTGAACGTGAAGCCGGGATGGGGGAAAACACGGAGCGGCAGCCGGCGGAGCCCGCCAGTGCGGGCGGCGGCGGTGGCCAAGCCCAGGCCGGAGGAGGCCAAGGGGCCACGTACCGACCCCGGGGAGAACGAGCCGCGTCTTCTTTCGCCACTGCCTGGCTTCCAGCCTCTCCAGCCTTCCGGCAGCACACACAAGCTCTTGTCTGGCGCCTCCAACCCCACCAAATACACGTTCTTTTGCTTCCCTCCGAAAAACCGCACACTCAAAAACAACAAACCAAAACCAACAGATAACAAACCAGACCAGATCCCCCAGTGTCATAAGACCAATGCTCGGGTAGCTTATCAGAAAGAAGACTTGACGATGGAACATAATTTTTTGTTTGTTTTTTTGTGGGGTTTTTTTTTTTTTTGGCTTCTCTCCACAACAAGAAGAGTGGGCGACCTCAGACAACAGCAAATCATTCCTAAAACACGATAAGCTACACGTGTTTCCAGTAGGGAGAGGTAAATCGCCCAGCCGTCTGGTGGGAGCTTTTCTTCTTGGTATCTATTTACCTGTGCATTCATTAAGCGCGTCGGCTTCATTAACAGGCATGCTATTAGCCTGCGTTGTAATGTGCTGGAAGAGTGTGTGCGTGTGTGCGTGTGTGTGTGAAGGAGGTGCTTGGGCTGTGAACACCAAGGCAGGCGCTGCGAGCGAGATGAGTGAGAGATCGGTGTTTCTCCGAGGCCACTTCTGGGACTTATCTGCGGGGCCATCTCTGCCAGAGCTCCTGGGCTGGAGTTCGAGTTTCACCCATTTGGGGAGGCGGGGTGTGTTGGTCAGAGAAGGCTCTCTCTGAACAGCCAAGGCCTTTCCTATTACATTGTGTGGGAGGAGAGCTTTTGAGGTGTAAGCCATTCCGTGCTCGCAGTCCGGGGCGCTGCCTCGGCCGGACTGAGCCTGGCGTGTTTTTATCCTCGGAGCTCAGCAGCCTCGGCGAGGAGGTAGCGACTCTGCGCTCCGCGGCAGGGAGGCCTTCAGACGACTCCCCACCCCCCGCCCCTCACCCCGCACCGCGCGCCGGCGTGTGCGTGCCTGCGCACCGGGCGGGAGCCGCTGGCACCTCCCAGTGCACGCCCGCCCCCGCTTCTGCTCGCTCCCCATTCCTAGGCAGCTAAGAAATGGTCTTCGGCCTCTTCTGGGCCGGGGTCGTGTGGAGCCCCGGGCCGAGGACAGAGCCGCCGGCTAGCAAGGAAGGGGTGCCGGAGGCCGCGGTGTCGGCTTCCCAGTCCTGCCCTTGGCCGCCAAGGCTGCCGTTTCTTCGTTTCACCTCGCGGCCCTAGCTTTGTTTTCCTGACACGCTCGTGGCTACCGGGCCCCACGGCTGCGAAGGGAGTGTGTGCGTGTGCGCGGGGGGCGGGCGCGCGCGGCGGGCGGGGGCTCTCCCGCCAAGGACACGCATGGCTGTCTGTCCTCCGGCTGCACTTGGCGGGAAAGCTGGGGGCAGCCGGCGGGTCTTCGCGCCGGCGGCTCTCATTACCACCTCCCTTCTCCCCCCGGGCCACATTTACATACGGGCCACTCGCCTGAATTTTTATAGCCCCCGTTCCGCCCCTGGTCGCACACGCGCAGGCTCGGACCAAGTGCCCGCGCGCGCAGGCACCCGCGCCCAAGCTGCGGCCGGCTGGGAGCGTGAGCAGGCCCAGGGGTGCGAGCCGCCCTCAGCTAGACGGATTCTTGCGCCCTCCCTCTCGTGCCTACACCCCTGACAGCCTTCTGGCTCGTGTTCCAGGAAGCCCACTTTTCCCTCAAGGCCCCCACCCTTCTCTCCCTGCACACACTCCCACCCACACCCTCCCATATCCCTCTGCCTCTTTCCCTGGAACACACACACACACGCACACGCTTTTTCTTCCCCCTCAAATAGGTAACCCCTATGGCGCGTCCCTGGTACCTCTTGAATAGCTCTGGAGTTTAAAGAATAAAATCCTCATAATGTATTGCTTGTCTTTAGCCTAACACGTTTGACGACCACAACAAAAAGAGGAGGAGGAGTGAGGAAGGGGACTTGAACCAAAAGACCTTTAAAAAAAAAAAGTCTGCAAGTCAAAAGGTCATTCTCCAAGTTTGTAAATAAAATTGCAAAGGGAGTTCTTTAAAAAAAAAAAGAAAGAAGGAGAGGAAAGAAGGAAGGTAGACAGGATCCACAAGTTACATAAAATGGTGCATTGGAAAAACAAGACAGGCCTATTCTTTAAAAAGAGAGAGGGAAAGAAAGTCTAAAGAAATCAAGAGAAAAAAAAACTGGAAAAAAAAAAGAAAGAGGAGAAAATAAAAGATAGAAAAGGCAAAAGAAGTTTCCAAAGAAATGTGTGCTTTGCATCCTACAATAGGAAAATGTAGCCATTGCCCTCCTTCAGACGAGACATTTCTAATTTGTTCCGTCTGTCAGGAGGGGACTATGAGAGGTTTGGGTGCAAATTCATTATCTCTGGCAACGCAGAACGTAGTGTGGGGACTGAAAAAGACCGTGGCAATGGATGAACAATAGGGCTTCAGTTCATCAGTAACAAAAGCAGTGGGGAAATTGGTTGAGTTTCAGAGCACGTCCTCCTCGGCAGAGGGGGCTGGACTAGACCTTGGACAGCCCCCCCAAAAACTTGCCGAGCCTCGCACACACCACTTCACTCTCCACTCCGAGGCTCAGGGAGCAAGTCCCTGGTGTGGGGGGGAAAAGTTGGCTTTTTTTCCTCCTTCGTCTTTTGCGTCCTTCTCTCTCTCCCCAGAAGGGAAGATCCGTTTAAACTGTTTTAGACGCAATCAAGCAAGAATCACCGTGTGGAATTGAGCGGCAGTTTTAAATGTGCTAAGGAGAGGAATGATCTGAAATTTTTTTTTTCTTTTTTGAGACGCCGAAAGGAGCCTGTTTGTGCACTGCGGCCGCCCTGTGTGTGACTGACTCTGGATCTTGTCTTCTGGCCAGCTCCTCGATTCCTGCTCAGCCGGATTTGGGGGGCAGCACTGCCTAGCGCGGGGAGGAGAGCAAGTGAGTACCCTGGCGGCCCGCAGGCGGCAACTCGGTCGGCGGCAACGCGCCAGCATTGACCGCTGCAGCCCCGCGCCCGCGCGCCTCACCTCGTCCTCGAGCCGGGGACCGCAGAGCCCCGCTGCGGGCCGCTCCGCGGGCCAGTCCGGGGCTTTGCTGCAGCTAATTGATTGTGAGTCTCGGATGCTAAACCTGTTGATCTCTTGAGTTGTCCGAGCCAGAACTGTTAATTATCCAGCGGTCTGACCCCCAATTGCGGAGAGATGCCAGGAAAATTTCGCATGGGAAAGAGAAATTTTGTGTGTAGTTTTGTGTTGCTGGGGGGACTTTTTTTTCAATCGTATTTTGCGTTCCTGGATTCAGGATTTGCATTTTGAATAATTCTTTTAACCACCCCAAAGTTGCAATCACCTGGCAACGAAGTGAGGCCCTGACTGGATTCTGGTGGAAACTTATGTACACTAGCTAACTAGACCTGGTGGATTTCCACTTTCTTTTTCTCTTGCCTTTTGGATTCTGGGAGCCGAGAGGCCGCTTTTCAGGGTTATCCTAAGTTCAGATTCATCAAGATAACAGCCACCACGGCTAGTTATTGGGACTTGGAGCATTTTAGCTTCAGATGCTTCTGGTATCTGAGCGGAATCCGGTCTCTGCAGTTTGCTTAGAGCCCAGACTCCGCGGAGGGAGGCAAGATCTTCCTTCGGTGGCCTGGAATGGTCTGAGGGAACACGGGGAGGTGGGGACCCAGGCACTGTATTTGCATTTGTGTCTGCGGCGTCTTCTCTTGAAATTGTACCGGCACTGCTTGAATGGGGGGACTGTCTTACGGGGTCAGGGCAGCAGTGGTATTGATCAGAAGTTAGACCGGAGGCTCTGTCAAGTCACGGCCATGGCCGGAGGCTCTTTTGGAGCCGTAGCTGCTGTGGGCCCAGAATGGCAGGGTCGGATCCAGTTTCCTCCCTCTCCTGGTGCCCAGCTCTTCCCAGCACCCTCCTTCCCCACCTTGCCACCAGTAATTAGGGCCCTGTCTCGGGAAAGGAGCTCCCATAGTCAGCATAATTGAACCAGTGGAGTACTTTCATTTTGCGAAACCAGTAGCCCCACCCCACTACTCCAAAATAACAATAAGCATTAAAAAAAAAACATAAAAGAAAAGCAACCTATTTTCGAGAGGGTAAGACTTCTTTAATATATTGAGTCATGGAGGAATGGGGGAAGGGAATTAAAAAAATCCACCACTTTACAGCAATCAGGTTTTACATTATTCATTGATTTACTGAAGGAAATAGCCAATCAGGAGCCATAGATATGAATACACATCTCACCGTGCAGTGGCCTTACAGTAAACTATTTGCATCTTTCTAATGGATTAGATATTTATCTAGGGATTCCCATTGTTTGAAAGGCCTGGAAATCTAGTTCTTTAAACATTTAGAAAATACGACTTTGTTCCAGTCTTGAAATTCTTACATGGAAGAACTCTCCCTCGTCTTTTGTATGGCAGGTTATAGTGTTCAAATCCCTAATGTTTTTTCAGAGTCCCTCTTCTTCCAAGCTAAAAATAAAAGAAAAGAAGAAAGAAAAAATTAATTTCCTAAACCCTCCAGATTCTGCATATTTTGCATTCCCATTATCATGCATGTCTCCATTTAAATGCAAATTAGCATATTTAACCCTGTGGGTGCTGAAGCCCAGCATACATTGTACTGGGTGTTTTTTTTTTTTTTTTTAATCTCTTGGCATTTTAAGGGATCATGATAATTGCACTGCTTTAAAATGAAGCCAAATCTAAACATGATTATATATATGTATGTGTGTATATTAAAACTGTGATCATTTGTTTTTTTGACTATTTTCCAGAAGAGACTACAAAGAAGCATAAAATGAAGAGACAATACAACCAACCAAAGGTAATTTAAATTTTTACATTTGAAAAATAAAAATGATGTACAAAGTCCAAATAGAATATCATTTGCTGTGTGGTAGGCCTGTAGTGTATTGCATATGTCCCAGTTCATGTAATAGGTACAGTTCCAGAAAAATCTAAGTTTCCATATGTGCAGTTTTTTCTCCCTGTATGTAGCCTTTGTATCCTATATATCAAGGATAATGCAAACATAACCTGTAACTACCTGTAAAAAATGAAATTCAGGATACAGAAGACATAATAGAACACTTTTATTAGAAAGTAAGCCAGACAAGTACCTTGCCCGAACTATACAAATCGCTGTAAATTAAATGGCTTCTATGTAGAAAATGGTAGTCTTGAATGTATTAGTGGACTGTGGTTTCTATACAGAAGAATCTACAAACTCAGTATTAAAAAGGGATTTCAGTAATAGGTCAATTCTTTATATAGTCTGCAGTAGTCTGAATAGAATCCAGAGAGATGTTCTAAATATTAGTGGCAAACCTGATTATTTGCACTTATGGAATCGCATAATTTTGATCCAGGTACATGGAAAATCATAACTTTTCACTTCTAACTTAAGGAGATTGTTTATTCCCAAGAAAATCAGGATGTTTCCATTCATGTTTCAGCCATCTGGAGAACTATAAAGCGATGAGAAAACAAGCATGACAATCATGTCCTAATCTACTGGCCATTAATGGGAATTTATTAGAAAAAAGCAAGCAAGCCATTTGAATTCCGTATAACCTTCAATATGCAGATTTCAAAAAGGGTATTCTGTAGCTCAGATAAATAGCTTTCTGAAAAACAGAAATATCTGAAATGTAAACATGTAGGTGTTGATAATTGCTCATAACAATGTATGGCAGGCATTGCTGGGAATCAGCACAATTGTTTCAAATCCTAAGTAATAATAAAGCCCTTGAAATGTATATGAGAAACCATGAAATGCACATTGGCAATATTCAAAATAATCAGGTGTTCAGTGGTTGGCCTTGCTATGGATCTTTTATTTCTCCATACCTTGAGAGAGGATAGAGAGATAAAATATTTAATTCGCTATATGGCTGAGGAAGAGACTGCCCATAATCATTATGTTGGCCATTTTCACTTTTTGGAGCTCTCACAATGAATCTATGGTTCATGTGGCATGAATGGGGGCCAGTTCTGGAGTCGACTATGTGGCATTGCTTTAGAATATGCTATTTTAAGACAGTATTTTCTATAGCTTCTGACTGTAGAGGCACTTCAAATGTTCTGTGTCTTGGCTTTCATGATAGTTACTTGGTTCTAAAAATGCATTTAATTGTTAAATGTGGAAATGTAGCTACCTTAATTTGTGAATTCACACAAATATGGGCTGACACACAGAGACATACATGTATCACATCTCTGCTTTCACCAACCCCTACCCAGACATATGTAAAGCAAGAGGATATTCTAAAAATATCTGGCATTCCTTAGGGTTTTGACTTAAAAAATTGAATTCATCTGATCATATGCTTGCTTTATGTAGTACATGCCAAATCACTAATGATTCTGCTTCTAGGTCTTGGAAAGCAAGGCCAAAATACTCTGTCTTCCAAGGCAGCAAAGCTCATTATGGTTTTACATAATGTCAAAGTGGCATGTGCCTCAGTGATATGTTCAATTCTATCCATTAGTTTATGTTGTGACCTCATAGTTCAAGAAGGAACAGTAACTCTATGGGAGTATGTTTCTCTGAATTAGTTTGTAGTTTGCATGTACATTTTATATGTAACCCAATGCAGCCATTTCTGATCATACTTCTTTTATTAAGATTTGATAAGAAAGACATATGTACTATTTCCACAACTTAGGCTTTTCTAGGTAATCAGAATACGAATGTTCAACAAAAAGAAGTAAATGAAAATCTAAGGGAAAGTTGGTATCCATGTTTCTAAATTGTAGTTTTAATTGGTATATTATTGTTTGAACTCTAGATTGGGGCTTTACTTAGCAGTTTTGGTTTTCTTTACTCGTCAGTTTTTTCTCTGGATTTACATATGTGTGCTCTGTATGTAATTTGGTAAGCATATTCACACTCATGTCTTATATGAATGAATTACAGAATTAATGAAAGAGTATATATTAATTCTGAAAGTGTTTTAGTCATTGGGGAAAATAGTCAACCTAAAGAAATGAGAGTATTGTGATAAACTAGTGATGTGTGAAATGAATATGAAGATTTATAACTTTTGCTTGTAGCATATATTTTAGAGAACAGTCACACCACCAAACAGGGCTCCTAATTTTGGAAAACAATCAATAAAGTTCACCTGTGGTGGATATGCACCATATGTGGACTGCACCTTAGGTATTTTGTTGTTGGGCATCTGACTATTAGAACTGTTCGTATTATAGATGCATTACCCATTAGGAAGGAGAAAAAGAAAAGAGTTTTTTTAAGTGACCGTATTTACACTTTGAAAAGTCCTAAGAAAGGAATGAGGCCAATTAATTAATAAAACAATAGTCCCCTCTAGATAGAAGAAAGGTGGGGGTGGGGAAGGGGACGGAGGGTGGAGTTAGGCTCTTACCACCCAGGTGTTTTGTCTTTTTCATGAGGTAACAATACTTTTTTCATAATTTCATAGGAAAGATCAGTACATTTTGTCCTTCTGTATGACCACTGATGTTTGAAGCTATAAACAAAGGCTCAGCATTTTTATTACAGCAGAGTTGTGTACAACAGTAGAAACTAATGCTGCAGTGTTTACCTGTGCTACATTCTAAGGCACACACCCTATAGAGTCATTAAAAAAACCCCACCAAAAAACCCAACCAGGATGAAGTCGGCCTGCTTAGAGCATTCCGTTTGAACTTACAGAGCAAAATATGCTGCCCTATTGCCATGGTACATAGATACAAAACATGACTGAGCTGTGAAGCCATTAAAAACACACCACCAGAGCAAATTGTCAATGTAATCACACATCGACTCACTGCGTAATACAGATCTGATTCCCAGCCCCAGAAAGCAAGGCCCTGCTTTAAGCAATAGCAAAGTGCCTTCCATCTGTCTGCCCATGCAATCTGCCAGAAGAGAAATACAGGCAAAGACGTTCCCCAGATCTGAAATGCTTTTATCTGTCCTTAGAGAGAGATTTCTTCCAGTCTTTGGATATTAGAGCGATCTACAGTAGCACCGAGGAGGTAAAAGGCCGCGGGTTGCTTTTCCTGGAGCAGACGGTAGTGCTAGCGGAAGAGATGTTGATTGAGAAAATAGGGCTTGCGGCGGTGCTGCCGCTGCTGCTGCCGCCGCTGCCGCTGCTCGGGCAAGAGGCGTGGGGCAGTTGGCTGATCACTGATGCATATCAATAACCATGTACTTGAGATTTCTCATGACATCATCATTACCTTGGTCTCCCGCGGTCTCGAACCTTTGACCTTGCCGGGCTGGTCCACATTTTGGCAGTGAAAGCCCCTCCAATGATGGCCCTTTTCTCCTTCTTTCAGACCGGGGGCAGCAGCACACCAGCAAGACGGCATCTTCTCTTCCCCAGCCTAGAAGCCCTGTGAAATCGAGGATCTTCCCCCTAAAACACACACACACAAGATATGTGCAATCAAGCTGCTACCGCTTGGTAAAAAGCTCACGGTGCCTAACCCAAAAGGATCAGGAGCAGATCCTTGAATCAGCTGTCACCTCTTCTATAGAATGGGATGGTTTTTTTTCCTTCCTTCATAACCTGCGCTGGAAATTGCCGTTGGCTTTATACATCTCTATAGAGGGAGGCTAAAGAGTCTTGCGTGAGAATGAAGCAATTTACAATGCAAATAGAGGCCTGTGGAGGGACGGACGCTGCTGCACACTCCTAACCGCCCGCTGCACCTTAATAGCTGGTTTTATTTTCTGATATTAATAGCTGAATTGTTGGCTTACGCTGCCGGAGATTACTTGCTGAAAGGAAAAAAAAAAAAGTTCGGAATAAACTTTGAAAGCAACAGATCTCGTTTGGATGTTTTAGCCGCACACACAAACAGAAACCAGGTCTTATTTACAGACGAGAAGGAATCTTGTGCACGGCAAGTGTCCTGGAGGACTACCCTTCCGTACTGCCAGAGAGAGCGGGATCTGGAATCTGGCCAGAGGAAGACAGAGGCGCGTGAGGGAAGCGAGTTGTTATCTTTGGTTATCTAGCTGTATGAGTGTATTGGTCTTCATAAAGCTAGATAACCGAAAGTAAAAACTCCTTCAAGATCGCCGGGGAGCGTGTGAGAATGAAAGACTACCACCAAGAGACAGTAAAAACCAGAAAGGTCAGGAATACTTATTGAATCTAACTTTGCTTTTGCTTTGTTTTGGTTCTTTTTCCTTATGATTAAAGGTGGGGTTAGAGGAAATTAAGTGACACACAGATGCCAAAATATAAAGGTGCCAGATACAGATACTTTGAGAGGGGGTTGTTACAGCTGCAGAGGAGAATTGTGTAGTGCTAGTAAGAAAAGATGCATGTATAGTTTTTAAGGCAAAAGTTTATATGAGGATTTTTTTTTTAACTTAGAAAGCTGTTGTAGAGATGTCTGGTATCTAGTTTAAGAATGATTTCATAATACATAGACTTGGGCTATTTCTTTCTGAGGCCTCCCTCTCCTGAAAAAATTGAAGATTGTGCTTGAAAACTACATGTACTGGGGTTGTACGTCAGATTATATTAAATTAGACTTTCAGAAAAGTTTATAACGGAAGGTTAATAAATTTTAACTGCTGAGGACATACAGCTAGCAGAGAAAATGCAAAAAAAAAAAAACAGCAAAGGCTGATTTTTTATTCTTCTATTCAAAATACAAGGACAGATGCTTCTCTGTTCCAAGAGGGTTTCCTTGAGGAAGCTACTGAAGCAGAAAGACATGATGGAGACGAGATCGCCTCCCCTCTTGTCAAAGTGTTAAAAAAATGTTCTGTCTTACTCTGCGCCTAGCATTGGAAATGAAAGTGACATTTACGCCACAACCCACGTGTGCGCCTCCTCTCTTTTTGTTTAAGGATGATCAGGTCTATCCAGGAAACAGCTCTGGCATCCCAAACTGAAATAATTAGGACGTATATAGACCTGACAAAAATGGAAAGGGGGTGGGGAATCTGAGGGTCTGTCTTGCCTAATTGATTCCGATAAACGGAATGCAGGAGATGTGAACGGCAGGACGCTCCGATTCCCACGCTCGGGGGCAAGTGGTAAAGCGGGCCGGCAGCCTATGACAGACAGCCCTGTTGGGGGGTGGGGGTATGAAAAAAACATCAAGTGCACACACCATACTCATCTCCATCGCTTAAGAAAGTAGAGGCATTTCCCACCCACAGCCATCTGCAGCCTCCCAAAGGGTAGCACCAACTGGTTTGTAGCTGCTGCATACTTGCTGTCTGTTTCTGTCAATTCTGTAACCGCTGTTTAATTTGGCCATAATTAAGTTCAACTTTCTTCTTTGGTTAAGATTTTCAATATTTAAGGCAAGCTAGTAGAAAGTAGTTCCAAGAAAGTTTCTGCCTGCCCTTCATGTCTAATTCTCAGTCTGTACTTTTGGCCTTGTGACTGCCTTTTGACTTTTGTTTTGGGTGGATTATATTTAAGAATACAACTTTATGTAACAAACATTATTATTGCTTCATTAGGCTGTTACCCCTTGACATGATCTATCTAGGAACTTGGCCTAATTATGCTAGTAGACACAGTGGAAGTAAAACTATAAAATCGCCAGCCTATAGAAAGCTAATTACAATAATAATACAATAAAACGTTGTTTTGATATAGTCCCAGTGAGATGCATTCTAAACAGCCATTTTTATTTACTCTAAAAATGACTGTACTTGGCAGAAACTTTGGGGCTTTGGAGGTCCCCACTGTAATCTTTTCGTAAAAGTCCTTACATTTTTCCACATGTCAACAAGCAAACATTTGTATAGGCATTAAATGTAAATACAAACATCGCAGTAAGAAAATGCCTAAAATGGCCTGTTATCTTCCATGTGGCCTAGATGACTGATAATTCCAAACACACATGTTTTCTTGAAAAGCATTACATTTTCCTTTGTGGCTTCAGTACCTTATAAGTCTTCAGACTGGAGAAGCCTGTAAAACCACTGTTAGTTTCAGTAAGAAACTCTGAGAGACTTTAGTAACAGAAATTCTCATTACGGCTGCTGAGCACGTGCCAAAGTTTTACTACTGTAGTGACCGTTGAGAAGACCCTTGTTTATTTACATTTGAAGCACTGTTTGTGCAAACAACCTTTCCTTGTTAAGTGCCTGTATTCCTTTCATTTACTTCATGTCCAGGGGTGCTATTTACCTAGAACCATTGTCTACTACAATTAACATTTACATTACAAAGTGTGTGGTTTTCTTTCTCAAGGAGGTTCAATTAAGGCAATAAGATGTTTGCTAGGGAAACCTATTGTTTACTGAAAGCACTCAATGGAGTCAAATTACTGAAGCTTTTGCTTACATCTTGGTCTTTTATGTAAATGTGTTAAATATAACATCTAAGGAAAATAAACAATATTATAATTATGTGTTTGCCATTGTCATATCAAACTTGCTTTGTACCATACTAATGTTACATGACTTATCAATCAATAAAAATACATTTCAATGTTATTATTTTCATTTTATTTTTTGCTGTTCCACTATTCTTGATGCAACATGTCCCAATTTTTCTTTTTTCTATTGCACATCAAACTTCTGACATTTTGTTTTATTTGTGTGTGTTGAAGAGAGGTACTATATCTGAGCATGGGTCTGAAGGATGTCCAAGGTAATCTCTACAATGACCTTATAATAAGGTGATATCTCTTTGAAATCTGAAATATTCCAAAGGCATGTACATATAAGTCAAAAGAAGTGTAAATATCAGTTAAGTAGTTCTTTGAAAGCTAGTTTTAACATTGGCAGAAACCGGATCAAGTTTATTTAGCATACCACTGCATTGTAAAACAGTTGGAGTGAAGTTGCAGGTTGCGTGAGTATGCATGTTAACTAGTGGGAACCAAGCGCAGTCTTTGTGAAAGGGGAGCAGCAGATTGCTGTGCAAGGCCAATGTTAAAAAGGCAGCTGAATTTAACACCATCTGGAAGAAAAGATCCCTTCACGACTTTCTCACACCGTCAGACCAAACTAGTGTCTCTTGTTCCGAGCCCTTGTCTATGCAACCATACAATACTGAGTCATTATACTTTTGCTGAGAGAAAATTTGAGAACACAATATGGGTAACCAGTGAATGACCAAGTTTCATTGTGCCCGCTTAAGTCGATTGAAATCTACGTCTAGAGCTATGAATGGTAGTATTGTTTTCCTCACCAGGGCTGTACTAAATGTCAGCACAGTGTAAAGAAAAACTTGAAGTCTGCAAATAACTTACCAGATCTCAATTATAATATTTTCCCACACTAGAACTAATATCATTGCGAGGGGCTACATTGCAGAAAATACAAAAAGAAACGAAAAGAAATAGAGAGTTCATTTAGAAGTTATTTTATCCAGACAAACATTTTAATTTTCTGATGGGAACTTCAATTCAGGCTGCAGGCTGGATTGAGAAGTGGAATTCATTACTGGGAAGTTCAAGTTACAAAAATGCTTCTTGTGCAATTAAAATAGAATAAAACAAACAACTACTCCCACCTGAAACCCTCCCTTCCTAGATGTAAAGAGACTCTACTCGGGTTCTATTGGCTTTAGTTCTGCTACGAATTGTTACTGCGAATCTAGCCTAAATTTTGCTTTAAGTTTTGGCAGACACTGCTGCTCTTTCAGAGTTTGCCACTATGATTGACATTGCAAAAGAACATCATAGATGTAAATTTCCCAAAATACACAACACTCTGGCACCTCCCTAGGTGGATTCTGGTACCCTCAGGAATACACCCTCCTTTGTATTACACCGCCTCCCCATTTTCTAACTTTTCTTTTTTCATGATGTATATGAATCAGTTATTATGCTTAGATTTAACATTCACATAATCAATTTAGCTGTAAACAGTCAGAAAAAAGAAGCAAAACAGTTCAAAAAGAGTAAAAGGAGTTGGTTGTGTATGTTTTATTAGGATGTCTATTTTAAATATAATTGACTTTGCAATTTTGTTATTGTGTCACCAAGTGTCGCATAGTTCTTAACATGTAAGTGCAAAACAATGAGTAATTGCTGTTTTGCTGAATAATACATCTGAGTTGCCAACGTCAAAGGTATTATTTTGTGTATTTCTAAACAGGAACATTAACTGCAGGTTTTGACATCTAGAATCTTTTCATGAAATACTTAAAAATTGGCCAATAGAATGACACCTGTAAAATAAAATATAAGGATATAGCCAACTGATTTTCCTTGCCCTACTTTATACTAGAAAATTAACAATGAAAAGTCACTCAATAATAGAATTATCAATGATATAACATAAAAACACAGTCATACAGAAAAAATCCAAACAACAACACAAGTGGAAACTGGTTGGAGGTAAAAAAGATATATAGGAAAACTCCTGCAATATCCTTGCAAGAGGTGAGTGGATATGTCCACCAGTATCTGCCCCCTGGTGAAGTTACTATTAATGTGCATAGTAATGAGATAAAACCATTATTTACACTCAAAATGAATTATTTTTTCAAAGTGGCTTTTCTTTAACTCTTCTTAAACAATACATCTCTACTAGTGTTCTGTTTAATTTTTAAATTAAAATGATTTACTTATTTGGAAAATATGAGTTCTAATTTGATTTTGTGTAGTCTTTGAAGAATTTTTAATTTTTAGAAATAGAGAGATAAAGCCAAGTCTTTATTTTCTTATGTGGCTAAAATTGTATGAAAACAGTGCATAACTGTATACTCAGTTTTCTCTATGGATATGTACCTCTGGAAATACCCCTGTGGCTTAAGAATATTGATGTCCTTTCCCCACTCTGTCTTGCTATGATTTAGCTTTTCCTTAATAGGTTAGGATAAGTAAAACATACTAT